CTTTAATTTATCAGGTGGAGGTGGCGGCTGCAGGTTGCTGGCAGAGGCCCAGGTTACAGGTTTGGCTAAGCTGTCTGCCAGAATGTGCAGATGGAGGTGGCCCCTGCAGGTTCCTGACAGAGGCTGTAGATGGAGGAGCTGAGTTGTCTGCCAGAATGTGCAGGTGGAGGCGGCACTTGCAGGTTGCTGGTAGGTGCAGGTCTGGCCACATTTCATTTCATTTCATTTATTCCTTTTGACCCCTCCCCGGGGTATAAGGGGCAAACAACAAAAAATAACATTAACAAATCAGGACAGGCGGCAGCCAATGCACAGCAAAATAAATAAAACAGAATTTGTGTACATACAAACAAGTCAAAGCAAATCAAGAGAAACGATTCAAGATTTTCTTTAAAAGTTTCAACAAATTTGACAAGACCTTTACTTTTCGAGATGACATTAACTTTTGAAACTTATAAATATTTGGATTTGCTCTATAGAACTGTCCAACCAACTCTCTTCTCTCTTTATAAAAAAAAGATCACACAAGTACATAATGATATTCGTCTCCTCGATTGCCAGTCAAACAAAGAGTACATTTCCGGGGGACATTTTCACGATCATACCTGCGCTAAGAGATAGGTAACTTATGATTTCCACACCGAAACTTAGACAAACAAACTCTTTCGGCAGGTCTTATCATAATCAGATAAGGTTCAAAAGTGAAATCAGTTTTAAACAATTTATAACTATCACATAAAGGGTTACTTTGTAATTTCTCATGCCATCTCTGTAGTTCCATATCAGATAATCTACGTTCATCATCTGACAGCTGTCAGCCAGAATATGCAGGTGGAGGTTGCGGTTGCAGACTGCTGGCAGAGGCTGTAGATGGAGGAGCAAAGCTGTCTGCCAGACTCAGCAAGTGGAGGTGGCGCCTCTCACACAGCATGTGGGAATACCTAGATGAAGATGATGTAAACTGAATGTAAACAGAGAGGTGGCTTTAATTTATCAGCCCAGTTATGCTGTAGTTACACAGTTATGATTGTCTATCTTACCTGAAAGGTTATATTTATGAGTGCATCTCTGCTCTTTGGTCCCTGGTGCATCTCTGGTCCCTGGTCAGCTAAGGTCTTCACATGGCAAAAGAGCAGGTTGCTGGCAGTGGTGTCGGTTGCTGGACGATGCTGTCGATGAAGACCTGGCCACATTTGTCTGCAGGTGGAGGTGGCACTTGCAGGTTGCTGGCAGAGGCTACAGTTAGAGGTTTGGCTAAGCTGTCTGTCACAATCTGCAGGTGTAGGTGGCCCCTGCAGGTTCCTGACAGAGGCTGTAGATGGAGGAGCTGATTTGTCTGCCAGAAGCTGCAGGTGGAGGACATTCAGCATCTCAGTTCCTAGGATTTCTGATGAGGGGTGTGTGCTCTTCTCTCACACAGCATGTGGAAAAAACCTGTTAGAAGAAGAAGATGATATAAACTGAATGTAAACAGAGAGGTGGCTTTAATTTATCAGCCCAGGTATGCTATAGTTACACAGTTATGATTGTCTATCTTACCTGAAGGGTTATATTCATGAGCACATGTCTGGTTTCTGGTTAAGGTCTCCACATGGCAAAAGGACAGGTTGCTGGCAGTGGTGTAGGTTGCTGGATGATGCTGTAGATGGACAATTGGCCAAATTTCTCTGCCAGAATCTGCAGGTTGAGGCAGCGGCTGCAGGTTCCTGACAGAGGCTGTAGATGGAGGAGCTGAGCTGTCTGCCAGACTCAGCAGTTGGAGGAGGCGGCTGTAGGTTGCTGGAAGAGGCTTTGTTAGAGGCTTGGTCACAACTGTCTGTCAGAGTCTACAGGCGGAGGCAATGGCTGCAGGTCACTGACAGAGGCTGTAGATGGAGGTGCTGAGCAGTCTGCCAGAATATACAGGTGGAGGCGGCAGCTGAATGTTGCTGGCCGAAGCTCAAGGTGGAGGTTGACAGAGGTGCAGATGAAACATTGGACTTCAGCACTTTGAGATGGCGGAGTTGATGGAAACTGCTGGTGGAGGTTGTATTTTGAGCATTTTTTTCACAGCTGTTTGCTGCCTGCAGGTGGAGGGTCAGGCAGCAGATGGCCGTTGTAATATTAACCCAGAGTTTATAAATAAAAGTGACTGTAAGAAGCTAACTGTGTAGGGTGGAGCAGGACACTTTACAGTAAGGAGATGGAGGTTGCTGGTAGACATTGTTGATGGAGGTTTGAGTAAAGAACATGCAATTCAAATAAATCTCACTAAATCTAAATAAATGTGATAAAAAATCATCACAGTTTGTTTCAGTGAGAAAAACGTGAAATTTGCCCAACACAATCAAGTTGGTGGACGGAAGCGCTTACCTGAAGACTCACCTTAAGGTTTGGCTGACCTCTTGCCCCACCTGCTGCCAGCCTGGTTCCACATCCTGAACAGGTTATGTACCCACCTTGGCTTAGGGCCCCTCGGCAACGACTTTGGCTTACCTGGAGCTTTAGGGGGGCCGGCTTCCACAGGCTTACCTGGTGCTGGAGGTGGGTCACAGGGGCTCACCTCAGGATCACGGCCACGTGGAACAGCGTCCTCGTCTTGGTGTGGGATCACCTCACTGGTCCACGTGTCGCCCTGGTCCGTCTGAAGGTAACAACAAATACAGCCGTCAGACTACTGCTCCACATCATGTTAACAACTTCAATTTGGATCCATTTTTTTATCTGCATGTTAGACAACAGACTAGATCAGATTTAGATCAAAATACAGTGTCTTACAGTATCTCCCAGCAGACTGGGCGTATCTGAGTCCCCGGGTGCGGAGCCAGCTGGTGAGCCACTGGGGGAGGTCAGTGCTGGAACCGGGACTGGAGCAAGGAGGCTGGCCCACTGGTCTTCCTCGTCCATCTAAGGGTCACAACAAATAAAGCCGTCAGACTACTGCTCCACATCATGTAAACAACTTAAGTTTGGCTCCATTGCTTCAGTTTCTAACACTATATGTTGTGACTGTGCACCAACAACAGATTTAACTTTTATCTTAATGTTGGACAATAGACTAGATCATTTTATTACAATGCAATGTTCTGCTGGGAGACCTTTGGTCATGACATTCATGTGGATGCCATCGCTATGGGCTAAGTAACCGCCCCTGACGGCAACAGTACTCCCTGATGGCAGCGGCCCCCCAGCAGAAAAATGCACCATGCCACACCACACCACAAAAACTGCTCAGGAATGGCCTGAGGAACTTGACAAAAAACTCAAGCTGTTGACCTGACCTCCAAATCTCCCACACCCCAGTCTGATTGAGCATCTTGGGAAGTGCTGGTACCCCACCTCACAACTGACAGGTCTCAAATGATCCAAAGCTAGCACCCCGGTGCCAGACACCACAGGACACCCTCCAGAGGTTATGTATCCATGCCTTGACAGGTCAGAGACAAATCCGATCCAGGGAGGTGACATCAGAGCTTCCCTGTGTAAAGTTAAACTCAAGTCAACTCAGTAATGAAGGTAATTAGTGGATGTTCAACTGGATTCAATAATCAAAGCAGACCATTATCATAATGTAAGCCAGAACTTAAGTTGCTTGCTAAAACACCTGTGAGCATATGAGCCTGTACAAAGGCTGCGTTTTAGCCATGATCCCATCATCCCATCGTTTATTGGTAGGTTTGTTACTTGTTGTACTGACCCCAGATAAAACAGATTTTAACGAGAGATCATACCACATCTTCACTACTGCAAGTCACTCAATAAAATCATGTCTTTTATTGTCTATTTTCTGTTGTCATTCACATGTATGTATGAAAACCTTTTGCCACCCGGATCTGCCACTGCTAACACAACCTTAATCGAGCTGAGTCTTTTTGCTTTGTAATTGTCAGCTGACCCTTAATGTGAAATACTTCCATGGTGTCAGAAATAATATTCATGCGGATGTGCAGATAAAATTAAGTGATATGTGACGAAGACTCTTGCAGCAACTTTCAGGTCAGAGGTCAGATAAATTATAATAATTTGTCTATTTAATGTTGTTCTGCTTTCTGTTATTTTATTGCTGCTTTACATTTAAAGTAGCCAACAGTGCAAACTGGTTCAGTTCACTTGAATAAATACAGAATACAACTGCTATTAAAAACTATTTTCAATGTCCTGTTTCCTCACTGTTACAAAGATTTGATTTGTATTTCAGTATGTTGTTAAATCTCCTGTATCTTGATACTTTTATTTTTATGTTTAATACATGTGACAATAGTAGCCTGTGAATAACTCTGTGATTGCCATCCCCATACAAGATATCCCAAAATCTCATGAATATAGCAGCCATTCCTCTAGCACCACCCTCAGGCCCAAAAAGTGCAATGTACAAATTTCTGAACTATTTCATACTCACCTGATAAGTAAACCCTTCCTTTAACTAGAGTCTGTCCTCAAAGGCCTAGCTGTTTTGCCCAAGTGGTAAAGATCTAAAAATGTTTTTTCATCCATCTTTTTTGTTTTCACACTAGCATCACAGTCTGATTATGTGATGCATGTTCAAAGTTTTAAATCTTATCAGCACAAACGTTCTTTCTGTTAATCAGAAATGGATTTATTATGGTCATGATTATTATCTTTGCTTTAATTTTTAAATATATTTTACTTAGGCCTATTTATATAGATGCTTTTCACCATTAAACAGACATGAAAACACAATTACATACAAGATATGTCACAGGAATATCAATAAAGAAAGTCACAATAAAATGCTAAAATTAAGTGTATAGATTGCAGTATAAACAATCAGGCATGACACTTGAATTGAAATAATTAAATCATTAATTTAACCATGTAATTTAATTGTAAATTCATCACATTGTGTATTCTTGTGCTGTTTAAATAAATGAGACGCAGAAAAAGACAATAAACATGCTGTGTATGTGGAGAAATAATTAAGTATAACCTGCATATAAAGCATTAGTTATGTTACAGTAGTATGTCTCTTTAAGTGAAATGATAGCAGAGTACTGTAGTGTCTTTTGGTTTGAGGTGCTTGCTGTGTACTAGCTGCTGGTGCCTGCAGGCAGTCCTCGGTTGCCCAGGAAACACAGATGGTGGATGAAGGGCGCGCATACAAAAGACCATAAACCTGTGGCAGCAGCTGGAGACCGAGACCACTGATTAATTCAGGTCTGTGCAGCCCCGCTTTAGTCAAAGACGTCTCTGTTCTCTCTAATACCTCCCATCCATTTTCTTTGTCCCGGGGCTTCCGTCTTCCACTTTATCCTGTTTTCCCTGGACTGGTCTGCCGTCAGTGCGCAGCTGTTGTTGGCACTCCCACATCTGCTTGTCTCGGATCGGCAGCCATGTAGACGACGCTCTGCCGCGGCTCGTGTTAGTGCGTAGCGTGTAGGTCCAGGGGGCGAGCAGCCTTTTACTGCGGGCTAATCACTGCACACACACGGCGTGAATTTGCAGGGTCGGCAGCTTGCCCTGAGCATGGAAGAAGAAGGAGAGGAAGAAGAAAAAGAAGAAAGAGAAGAAGTGATGTTTTCGCACCGTCTGATACTGCGGGACAGGTGCATGTGAACCTGGAGATCACTGGTAGGAATAAAAGACCATATTCTTCCTATTATTCTCTTGTCATTTTATATTCAACGCCTTTATTGCGCGAATCAAACTGGTCAAATCGGATTCATCTGCTGTTAAATTAGATAAACATGGACTCATTGAATTTCCTGCAGAGGAGGGCCTAGTCTGTCTTTCCTCAACCTGACATCCTTGCAGAATTTATGAATATTAAAACATGCTTATTTATAGAAAAGCTATTCCTGGTGAGCACATGACAGATTAGGCTTAAGATGTGTTAAATATCGGGCAATATGTTGCTGTAAGCAGTGTTAGCCTACATCACCAGATAGACAATAAAGCATCAGCTGCAGCCACTGTAATGTCTTTTTCTTTTTCTTTTTTTTTTTTTTTTGCTGCTGGGACAACAGAAATGTCAGACAAATTCATAATCCAAGCCTTAGCTGTGGTAAAGTTCTGTTTATATTTTTAGTTATTAGTTAAATATAAGGCAAAGTAGGTCTTTAAATTAAAAAATGTAATCCCAAAACATACTGAATCATCCACTGTAACATCTATTCTAGATATGATCAGCTGTATGCTTTTATTTTTTAGGTTACCTTATGTTCGGGGGATTCATCTACAGAGCTGCAGGCACGTCACCAGTCAGGAAACTGGGAGGATCCAAATGGGAACCAACAGCAGTACAGGTTATGTGTACAGGCTGGATTATATTTATCACAAATCATGACAGAGGATAGTTTTTTAATAGTACACGACATCAAATAGATAATTTAGCAGTATTACTCAGTCAGTTAGATAACATGTCTTTTAGCAGTGGGTGTATTTCAATGTAATTTGTGTGAGACTAAATAAAAACAGCAAGGGGAAACAATGAAACGAAAGCACAAGTAATCCCTGGTGTATCTTTGGAGGACAGTTGGGTTGCGTCCCACTTTTCTGCTGCTTTGTCTTGTGTGTTCCTTTCCAGTTACACTGATGAACAAAGCAGAACCGGGGCTCGTGCTGGACCTCACGAGCTGCACGGCTCCACCGCCCTCCGCTGTGCTGCCTCACAGACTGGTACAGGAGCTGTCGGTAGATTTACACCTCTGTGACTTTTATCCCCCCTCATATTCACTTTACACTCCACCCTGTGACTTGTTATATAGGTCTAGATGAATATAAACTGCAGAGCCGATTTTTACAGACTCTTATCTTGCCTTTTGCCCACATACAGGATGTGTCCCTGCGTACGTGTGTGTGTGTGTGTGTGTGTGTGTGTGTGTGTGTTAAGTCTCTGTGCCGGCTGAGAGTGCAGATAAATGGGGAGCAGATAGAACATGGGAGATTAGTTATGTGTTAAATCGCTGCCATATTTTCCACTATATGCTGCTACCCTTTTCCAGGATTATGGTTAAGAGGGGAGATAAACCAATCTAAAAGTGGAAACCATGACCAAATCAGATTTAGCATTTTCAGCTTTTCAGATTCGTTATTCAACATTATGCAGGATTATGCTGCAAGAACATATTTGCATGTTTGACAAAAAAAAAATCTAAAAATAAGTTAAAGAGTCCAAGAGAAAATTACATCATCATCCACTTCTGTATTTCCTCCTTTCTTTTCAAAGAGCTGTCGTGTCCTTTCACCTGCAGTGATCGATGCATGCTGCCACCACTGCCGTCCTGTACCTTCAGAAGGAGAGGATCCATGTCCAAGTGTTCCCCCACCAGGAGACGACTTCTGCTGCCTCTGTGTATCAGTGAAAAGGGCTTTGAAGAGTTCAAAATGCCACCACCGCTTTGTAGTCAGTGTCAGCATGATCAGATTTAACAGGAAGGTATTTCACGGGTGGTGTTCTGAGTCCAAAATAATCTGCTGCAGTGTTCTCTCCTGTTTCTCTCAAATGTGCGTAATTTCTGAGCTGTAACACTGATATAGCCTCATCCACTCCCACTCTCATGGGTTTTGTTTTTTTTTTTTTTTTTTTTGGGCTGATCACAAACACAGACACTGCAGCCATCAAACAACCCGCTCATGCTTGTTTTCTTCAGCCGCCTTGTGCAGTGACCTCCTCGCTCCATTACCTTGGCCACTCTAACACTGCGGCCACTTCTCCCCACATAAGACACTTTAAATGCACCATAAGTGGTGTTTTAACATGTGTTAACTTCTCAGCAAAGCGAGCCTGTATCCATGCCAGATCCAGAACTGGAAAGCTTTAATGTTTCAAGCCTGTAATGTTTTTTTTAAAAAAAATCTGCTTCAGTGTGTGACTAGTTTTCTCACATTATGACAATGTGTAATTCTCACAGTATGTTCTTTGTTTGTCTTGAAACATCTTAATTTGGGTGTGAAACCAGCTACTTTTTACAGTACACTCTGTGTATTTTTACTGTAGCGTGTGGGCGTGTGTGTGTGTCTGCGTGAGTGCATGTGTTTGTGTGCATGTGCTCTATTTGTGTGCGTGTTTTTTCTTGTACGTGTGCATGTGTCCGTCTGATAAAACACATTTGTAATGGGCCTGAAGCTACTAGCTGCTTTTCAGTGGTTTTCTCATCGCTGCACAGATTTGAAAAAAACAATGCCTGAGTCTCTTCTTTCAGCACACTGGATGTACCAGACAAAGGATAAAAACCTTATTTACAAATGATTCTTAGCATTTGTTACAAGCCTCATTGAAGTACCAGTTAGGTGGGGGTTCTTGTGATTTAGATAATCACAAGAATGTCGCTGGAAATTAATGGTGTGTAGTTTTCTAAATGGTGCCTGCTGGTGTTAATTAAACTGTCCTAATGCCTACAACCCCATCATCTGATACTTCAGCAAATTACAGCAAATGCTAATAATTATGTGCAAATAGCTTTTTACCCAGGTCTGGATTCTACTAACTGTATCTCACTAATATCTAACAATACTAATGTCTGCTAACAGTCGGATGATTACTAACCCGTACTCTGAATGCTGATGGCTGGCCTTGTTCTTTCTAACCCACTGACTAACCCTCTGCTTTATGCCCGCAGTCCAATGCACACACACTCCTCTCTCATGATCCTGCAATCCTTCTTCAAGAAATCACAGACTAAGATGAACTATTAAAGGCGAAAATCAATGAAAGCAGATAAAGTGAGCAAGTCAAGAAGGGTTTCAGGACTTGGGAAGGGAAATGTTATTAACCACTAGATCAAACGATGAGCAGAAAGAGCTGCTGATATCAAACTGGGTTGACCACATACTTCAGAAGAAGGCTTGCAAAACCAATTATGATCTGATCTTAAATATTATCAAAGCACAGTGTTGCACTTCACAGGCTAAATTCACATCTTCAGAGGCCGTCTTTCTGTCTCTACCTGTGTGCTGTGTGGTCAACCCTTGCAGGTGAGTGCCTGGCTTGTTGTCACCACAGGCCACACAAACCTCAATTCCACTACTAACTTATTTTGGTGTTGATACTAACAGTGGTGAGGCTGTAAAGGCCCACCTGTTGCTCTTACTAACATCTGTGTTCTTTCTGACTGAAACATCCTGATGTCTGTAATCAAATTATTCCGTCTCTTTCTTAGTCTTTAATTAAATCAGAGCATGCCTTGTGGTACTAGTGATGTTTATAAAATTACATTACATGGAAGCTTTTATCCAAAACATCTTCTAGTGCCACGAGTGTATGCTTTTTAGCAATCGGAACTAAGCACTAACCGTGTCATTGACATGTTTGATAGAAATCCTGATAAGCAAGCAAGACAAGTTTTGCTCAACAAACTACTAACATCGCCTAAAGTTGAATTAACAGGTACTAACCAAAGAGCTTTTATTAGCTCTCTGCAAACTAACAAACTAACCTACTAATAAACTAATAATCTAACAAAAACTAACTAAAATCACTAACTTTGTGCTGAGTGAAGCACCCTGATTTGGAGGAGTGGCATCACTTATTAAGTACTAACAGAATTCTTAAGAGTCACTGATTGAATGTGCCTGTTCATGTGTGTGTGTGTGAGAGAGAAAGAGCACAGGAGATTGTGAGTGTGTGTGTGTGTGTTTGTTCTTCAAACAATAATTTAAAGGAGTACTTCACCCCCAAAAGGATCATTTGTATATCAATTACTCACCCCATGTTAGGTTGAATTTGTGAAGGAAACTTTGTTTTTCTTACATGCCTCCATGTAGAACAAAGAGTCCAATAATAGAGAATAATCTTGATAAACTGAAGTCATAGGGGGCCACGCTTGCCCAGGTGCACTACTCTTTTGTGTGTGGGACTGTTTTAAATAGTAACGTTTTGGCTAAAATGCATATGACTGGGAAGTTCTGAGTATATGACTTGATAAATTGGATCATACTGCCTAAGTTGTGTAAGAGTCAGTTGACGGATGATTTGATATAGTTTGCTGTTGTTAAATGCCGGCCCCTTTAACTCCAATTTATTGAGAATTTCTCAGTTTTTGGATTCTTCGTTCACCTTGGAGGCATGCAAGAAAAACAAATTTTTCTTCATGAATTTAACAAAACACAGGATGAGTTATTGATTTACAAATGATCACTTAGGGGATGAAGTGCTCCTTTAACATACTAATGGAGATTATGTTCTTTAGAACAGTGTTAGCCAAATGTATCCACAATTGCTCTTCCATCGGAGCACCAGGATACTTATACAACACACCTTTAGCTTCTAAAACAATACACTGTGTGGAAGTATCATGCATGGAAAGAAAAATAAATTCAGTGTCCATAACTATTTTTGTAATTTATTGCTTATTGACCAGCTGTCTTTATGACATACTTTTGTAATAAATGTTTTTCACATATCAAACAAACAAACACGTTTTTATTGTATTGTCTCCTTTCTCAACGAATGACATAAAAAACTGCAACTTACAGTGTCTAATCCATGGGCTCCCCATCCAGGCAAGCATTCAAACTGTCCAAGACAACATAAGGAACAGCACAGTCCTGTCCACGGACATGATTTCTGAACTCAGCCAGGAAATTACAAGGTATTTTATTTCTATGGTGATATGGAGTATATTTTATTGATTGCTATAATCACCCTGAATCATGATTTCTCTTGCAGCATGCCCAGCTTTTGCAGAGTGCCGAGGTATCAATTTTAGGTGACAAAAGTTTTTCAGAAACCTTTGTAACTAATTAATAATGGAGATAATATTTCAAGGTTTGTTTTTTACCTTTAAAGCGGGATTTTTGACATTTATTTGAGATGTTTTATTTGTAGGTGATACTATTTGATCACCATGTGCCACCTCTGAATAACTGTAATACATATAAACCCTCTTGGGACATGAAGCCACACATCAATGGGATATTTTCTAGATTGTTATGCATGCAGTATAACAGCAGAGGGCAGCAACTCATCAGGTTAGAGTATTGGGTGGTTTTTGGTGCAGTGTAAGCTCCTCCACCAGTTCATATTCCTCTGCTTATATTTGCAGCTACTGGACAAATGTTTGAGACGCTGCAATGATTTCATACTATTAACAGTGTATTTGGATGATACACTGTGTGTATTTGCTGAATTGTAGTTCAAACTATGCATTTCGGAATCACTTTAAACCCATATTTATCATGAAGTGTTTTTTTAAGATTTGCAATAGGTGTCTTTCAACTTTAAAAGATCGTTTGGACACACCGGTTTGTTGGTGTCAGTGGTGAGATTTGTAACATCAGCATGTGTAAATGTGTCTTTCCTTGTAAAATGAGCACAGTACGTTCTGTAAGCGTCTCAACTTTAAGGAACTGAATTAATTATAAACACTTTTCACCTTAAACAGAAGTCATAACTTTGTAGACATGCACATTGCATTGAAGCAATGTATTGTTTCCTGTTACATGTGTGTGATTTCTCTGATACACTGTCTGGCAGGTGTTTGTGATGCAGCTGTTGTCAGAATGCTTTTCCTTTGCATGCTGTGGAAATCAGAAATTTTCATAGTGCAGACTGAATTTCACTAATTTCACTCCACTCCATCCCGTCTTGATTGAGATACAAAGGTCAAAAGTCATCCCATCTGTATTTTGAGAGATTACAAGCTATACAGACAGCAGCAGTGTCCAATGACGTCAGAGCACTATGGACAGCCAAGGCTAATGTGACCAATTTATTTATCTATTTAAAACAACTAATTCTGGCTGTTTTTACTCCAACTATATGTCATACAGATTTATGTGTGTGTGACACAGACAGAGAGAAAGACTGAGGGCTCATGTTGCACGCTGAAACCCACACACGCACACACACCTCAGTGGACCTTCATTCCACCGTCGTCCTCTGACAGAGGGGGGCTCTGCTCTGCCCCCCATTTGAGCCCGATGTGATCCAGATGACGGGGGTTCCAGAGGTAGGAGCAGCGGGGCCCGGGGTCTTCATGGGTCAGCTGTAATTCACCACAGAGCTCAGAGAGCAGAGTCTCACCACACAAACCCCCTCACAGAACAGGGAGGCTCCACTTAAAGTCTTGAATATCACACAAACTCCAGTTCAAAGGCAGGTATGTCGGGATGAAAAACATTAATCGGCTTAATGATGTTCTTTAGTGAATGGTTACTTTAGCCAGACTTTGAAAACACACTAATGCTCTAGTTTACAGGGACTTGGATGCCACAGAGGCATTTGTGGCCCAGAGAGAGAGAGCGAGCAAGAGAAAGCAGTGGAGAAGAAACAGTGCGGGCTGGCAAGAAATAATTCCACAATTATCTCATCGTTGCAGAATTTCTGGAGATTTTACCGACTATGTATTTCCGTTTTACTCTTTCCTAAAAAAAGAATGAGGAATGTCTGTGCACAGTGCAGATGTGCCTGTGTTTATGTGTGTGATCCAGAAGCAGCTCCCTGTAACCAGAGCCTCCATCACAGGGAGGATGTCTGCTGAAATAACAGCTCGCTGCCTCCAACGGAATTTGTCTGTAAGCTGTAAAAGATGGCGAGGGAGAAGGAGAAGAAAAAGTGAGCCTGAGAAGTATTTCTCTCTGC